CTTTCAACTCCCTCCAAAGATTTTCTATGGGGTTGAGATCTGGACACTGGCTAGGCCATTCCAGGACCTTGAAATGCTTCTTACGAAGCCACTCCTTCGTTGCCCGGGCGGTGTGTTTGGGATCATTGTCATGCTGAAAGACCCAGCCACGTTTCATCTTCAATGCCCTTGCTGATGGAAGGTTTTCACTCAAAATCTCACAATACATGGCCCCATTCATTCTTTCCTTTACACGGATCAGTCGTCCTGGTCCCTTTGCAGAAAAACAGCCCCAAAGCATGATGTTTCCACCCCCATGCTTCACAGTAGGTATGGTGTTCTTTGGATGCAACTCAGCATTCTTTGTCCTCCAAACACGACGAGTTGAGTTTTTACCAAAAAGTTATATTTTGGTTTCATCTGACCATATGACATTCTCCCAATCCTCTTCTGGATCATCCAAATGCACTCTAGCAAACTTCAGACGGGCCTGGACATGTACTGGCTTAAGTAGGGGGACACGTCTGGCACTGCAGGATTTGAGTCCCTGGCGGCGTAGTGTGTTACTGATGGTAGGCTTTGTTACTTTGGTCCCAGCTCTCTGCAGGTCATTCACTAGGTCCCCCTGTGTGGTTTTGGGATTTTTGCTCACCGTTCTTGTGATTATTTTGACCCCACGGGGTGAGATCTTGCGTGGAGCCCCAGATCGAGGGAGATTATCAGTGGTCTTGTATGTCTTCCATTTCCTAATAATTGCTCCTACAGTTGATTTCTTCAAACCAAGCTGCTTACTTATTGCAGATTCAGCCTTCCCAGCCTGGTGCAGGTCTACAATTTTGTTTCTGGTGTCCTTTGACAGCTCTTTGGTCTTGGCCATAGTGGAGTTTGGAGTGTGACTGTTTGAGGTTGTGGACAGGTGTCTTTTATACTGATAACAAGTTCAAACAGGTGCCATTAATACAGGTAACGAGTGGAGGACAGAGGAGCCTCTTAAAGAAGAAGTTACAGGTCTGTGAGAGCCAGAAATCTTGCTTGTTTGTAGGTGACCAAATACTTATATTCCACCATAATTTGCAAATAAATTCATTAAAAATCCTACAATGTGATTTTCTGGAGAAAAAAAAGTCTGTCATAGTTGACGTGTACCTATGATGAAAATTACAGGCCTCTCTCATCTTTTTAAGTGGGAGAACTTTCACAATTGATGGCTGACTAAATACTTTTTTCCCCCACTGTATACTGAGATCATGTGACAGATCATGTGACACTTAGATTGCACACAGGTGGACTTTATTTAAATAATTATGTGACTTCTGAAGGTAATTGGTTGCACCAGATCTTATTTAGGGTCTTCATAGCAAAGGGGGTGAATACATATGCAGCACCACTTTTCCGTTATTTTTTTCATTTCACTTCACCAATTTGGACTATTTTGTGTATGTTCATCACATGAAATCCAAATAAAAATCCATCTAAATTACAGGTTGTAATGCAACAAAATAGGAAAAACGCCAAGGGGGATGAACACTTTTGCAAGGCACTGTATTTGTATATGGTCACCAGCCTAGCCAACGTTTCAGTGTGGCCTTTCTTTAGGTACACTAAGTGCATGTCAGTGCATGTTCATGCTTTTTGCTTTAAGCAGGTGCACCCTGCTGTTTCAGAGACTTTTGTGCATGTGTCAAGACAATGAAGAACATTGTGGTCTGACAAAACGCAGTAGACTTACTGTAGTACATGTTAAAGAACCGAGATGCTGGAAAAGGACATAACACCATCATACAAAGAGAGTCATCAACAGGGATGGTGTGAAGAGAGGTCAGACAGGAAGTACACAGCGTCTCCATCAGAAGAGAGAAGAAAAACCTTGAATTGACGTTCGGTGGCTAGATTCTATTGCAAAAGGGAATGGAGGGCAAAGTTGTAGCAAAAACAACTTGGATATATATTTATATATGTCTTGGACTGTGGCACCCACTAATGAAGGCCTGTTTCTTTTGATTTGGTCTGGCTAGTTTTAGACACTGCTTGAGAACACACTAATGATCTTACTTTTTCAATTAAGCTGCTTGCTTCTCTAAACGGAGCCCAACATTGTGTTCCAGAATTAATTACAAGTCAATATGAGCTGGGGGCCTGTTGGGATGAAACAGCAGGGGCCTCAGGGTACTGCTATTGGATTGGAAAGAAGTGAGCGAGAACACAATTAACCAACACAGTGTGCTAGTGGCAGTGTTTCTAACACTTGTCTGGAACTAGGACAAGCCTCAAACTAGGGATTGGAAGACAAAGGAAGCTATTTCTGAGCAGTAACAGTAGCTAATGTGCAGATATATGAAGAGCTCTTTATATGGAGTCATTACTTGATGCATAATCACCCACACGGCAAAGAGACTTCAAGAGAGTGTCATTGAAGGTTAATGGAGAACGTCCTACAAATGTTCTTATCATCAATTTTGATCTTAGAAACCCTGTCATTTCTGAGAACACTTGTTTTAAGTGTAACGTTGCTTCTGCTTTATACAAATGTCAAGTATTTCCACAAACCATCTTAACTTAATAACATTTATTCACATGCAAACCATCTTCAAAAATACTTGAATCTGTCTCTTATCACAACATTGTCCCTTCGTAAGTCTGCATCAAAGTGAATCAGTCAATTCTATCATTCATTACACATCTATAACAGCTTTAAATGTAATCACTCACGTCTGACTTGTGTCTGTATATGCAGCTATTTCTGATGTATTTTTATTTTTATTTTATGTAGCTTGTAATGGGCCAATTTAACCTCTAAAAGTCTAAGCTGTTGGGGTACTACGCTAACATATGGAATTGTTTTAAGATGGTCATACCATGGTTCATTTAGCTATTTGATTTGGAATTTTAGGACCCCTTAAGGTATCCCCACCAAAGAATATACTATAGCCCATAGAAACGCATTGAATGCCACAATCATAAATGGCAAAAAATACAATAAAAAATAAATCATAAGGAATAAGGTTTTGAAGTGTCTGTCCTATATCTAGGAGATATAAGAAAGCTATGGAAATATTGTACGTTAAAAAAATAACATATTTAACCCCATATTTTAACCCCCTATAAAACTACCTCAATACTACCATTCATTTGTATGGGTTACCTTCAGACTAGTCTCGTGACACCTGTGGGGGTTGTAGTTTGTCGGGGAAACCGTACAGACATTTTTCGTGATGTCTCATGGTCTGACAAACACCGCAGATGCGGAAGGCAGACATAGGCAGATGCAGTGGATTGAGAGGCAGCCCACGCAAACTGATATCTCCAGCTTAAACTGACGGATTTTGATGGGGATTTTTTTATGTTGTTACTTAGATTGACGCACGGTCAATAGACTCAATGATTTTTAACTGCAACATCTTCCTTTGTAATTAGACTTGATAAACACTACAAACTCTTTCCAAACTCATGAAAAAGGAAAGCTGTTCTAATACAATCCACAACAAGAGTCAATCAAGAGTTTGATTCTGATTCTCAAAATGTGATTCTGTAGCAATGTTCCAATTAATTATCTCAATCTTGAAGTCTGAACCGTTATTCAGACAACACCCACACTCTCCAAAATTCTCCACCAGAACCATATATCAAAGGATTTGTCTGCAGCTGCTGTCATCTCAGTCGGGTGTGAGAATCTACTCCTTACACTAGGAAATGTTTCTCATACTCTGCTTGACGTAGACTGCAATTGTTTACAGTACTAATTTTAGGTATTTAGGTGTCATATTTTAGAGCCAATTTTCGAAGAGGTTCCCGGTAGTCAAGCAGTAGAACACTTGAGGTGCAGATACGGTACAGGTGAGAACCAGCCCACTTCAAGCACTGCTCACATTGTCAGCGGGTCAAGACTGCCATCTTCAGTTGAGGCTGTGCCATTAAACACTGCAGATTTTGTGTAAAAAGGGAAAGGGGTATACTTAGTCAGTTGTACATAGTAAAGTATACTTAAATAGGAATTTGTACATATTTCATAAAGTGTTGTTAGTTTATAAATCAGTAGTAAACAGTTAACACATTTTAATGACTACAAGTAATGCATAAGTTCAGGTTTATTACATGTATTTATTGTTCAAGTACCTTTAAATGATAACCATACAACTCAGCACAAAGAAGCAGGTCCAGGGTATTGAATATCTCCTAATTGAATTGCTGGTTGAAGACACGTACATTTGTACATATTTACATAGAAAAGTTGTATCCAAAGTGAGATGTGACATAGGAAACACTTGAACAGAACATCCTTTGTAAGACGCTAAATAAAAACATAAAGCTAGGCCCTGGTAATACTTGAGAATCACATAGCGGATGTCATGAGGACGACAATAAAGGCACTCTGTGATCGTTGTTATATACATTTCATTGATCATAAGTGGGGGAAGTTCACGTTGGGGCTTTCACAGTAAGAATCACTGCCCTCCATTGGTAATACATACAAACAGTGACCATCTAATCATCGAATGAAAATTATAACAGAGAGACAAATTATACATTGTAGTGTGACAGATGATGATTGAGTACCAATATTGTCAAAGATCATGGAGTAAATACCTCTCGTTTTAAAAACGTAAAATATGGTTATTCAAATCTTTAACGGGAGCAATAAAGGGTTGTCCAATACATATGTTAACTTTATACAGATTCTTTCAAAAATATCCATCTAAATAAATACAAAAACAGCATCTCAGAAAAGGATATCTTTGTCTTATATGTGGTGTTTATACAGCACAACACCCAGCAATACAGCACTCTGATTAAAAGGTCTGTATCTACTTGTCCTTACCATCCTAATCACAAACACAATGGTTAGCACATTCCACCTTGCACTGACCCCAGCACAATTCCCTAGAACAGGGCTCTCCAACCCTGTTCCTGGACAGCTACCGTCCTGCAGGTTTTCCCTCCAACGCTAATCTAGCGCACCTGATTCTAATAATTAGCTGGTTGATGAGCTGAATCAGGTTAGTTATAGCTGGGCTTGGAGCGAAAACCTACAGGAGGCTAGCTCTCCAGAAACAGAGTTGGAGAGCCCTGCCCTAGAACATTATGTGCAAGATAATTCCACTTTAACACAAGGAGAATAATCAAGAGTAACCATGTGAATGAGGGTAAATAAACAGAGAAAGGGGGACAACGCATGTATCAAACTTCTACTGTTCTCTTTGGTGTATTGTGACCATTCAAAAAGAAGATCATTTCATACTAAAGTTATTTCTAGAGACAATTTCTACCAGGCACCAAATTTAGCTCTATTGAGCTATGAAAGGCTACAAGTCATTATTCAGCTGTATTTGTGATACATTAACTAGGTAAACATATATTATGTCCTTTCATTGTCCAGTGGCCAGAGTGAAACCATGGGGTCAGAAGCCTTTCTGTATGCATGCACGCACACACCAATTAGATGATCAATGCTCTATTGAACTCAGTAGTTACTTAGTGACACACTTCCGCATACAGACCCTTTCTCTACACAGACACCCATGTATGAACCTTCAGGAGACTTCTACTATGGACTCTGATCTTAAATGCCTACAAAAGCTCTAGACTGTAAATAGAATGTGAATTTGAAACGTCAGTAGTATGTACTCAACTGGTTGTGATTATCTCTGATCAAATATGTTATTTTCTGCGCTGATATGCTACAATAAAGACATAACTGTAGCAAAATCGAAAAAGTTATTGAACATAGTGGATTGGCAGATGTCTGCAGGTATGGGTATAATAATGTATTTAATGTGCATACATACGTACACTACGGGGAAGGTTAAGAGACCTCAGAGTACAGTACATAGTACACAGATTGAGCTACTGCTGGGGAGTCCCTTTTCTAACTGAAAAACACAAAAGGCGGAATCAGTTAAGGGCATACTCAAGAAGGCTTTCATTTTGCTCCACTGACACTAACGCATAATACAGTGATAAGTGCAACACGACAACTCAATGCCACTTAACTTTAGAGGACTGGCAAGGTTGAGTGTTACTGTAAAAAGCACTTGGTAGAACATGGGGTTGTATAATAGTTCCTACAATACTTGAAAAACAGCCCCATCAAAACACTTGGATCTCGTCGAACTGGAACAGTGCCACTGCTTTAATAGGATTAAAACGTTAGCTTTTTAAAATATTTAAATAGATAATATAAAACTTTATCGTTATGTTTTAAACAGACAATCTGTACACATCTGGTACCAACACATATAAAAATGACAAGCTTGGTTACATTAGAAAGGATACCTTCTGATACGTCATATCAAAAATAATATGCTGCTTTAGTAAGCAGATTCATAGTATTTTTCTTCTAGTCAAATTGTACAATGCTACATTACATTACACTCAGTTAGAAAGACACTGAAGGAGAGAATGTCTTTGCTTTTTTAGTCCAATGCTTTCCTACTCTGTCTGCACAATGCAGTGGCACTGAGCAGATATGAAAGCCTTGGAGTCATGAGTGTCTCCCACAGTGTCCACTATGCAGTCTTCTCCTCCTTTTCTTCTCCTTTCATCCGTTCCCTCCTGTAGTGACTTACTCCGTACCTTTTCTCCCCTGCCAATCTTCCCTCTAATCAAACACGTTCTCTCGGTCTCTCTCAGGCAAACAGCTCATCCATCAATAGCTCCATCGCAGGCTGACTTTGTGAACATCTCCTTCCTCTCCACCTCCATGTCAATCAATCTTTTCCACTTTCCCAATGATCTTCTCCTCAAAGATGGGCAGGATTGCATCATCTTCGCGTACCTCTTCGAACACCACCCCACAGTCAAACTCATCGCTTACCTTCTTGAAATAATACCTAGAGTCGGTTGGATAGAGAACAGTTGGTTGTTAGTTCAAGTCCATTGAAAAAGCTTTATTTATTACGCACCAAATTTACATAATACGAAAAATGTACTTTGGAATGTGGTTCATTTTACATGACCATAAACACAACAAAAACGTGATATTCAATTGCAAGGACTTCAGAGTTTAATAGATTAAACCATTTTATAACATCATCCTGTAAATCTACTTTCCTGTGCCTCACCAATTAGAGTAGTGACCTCACCTGTAGCTTCCTTTCTTAGTCAGCAGCTCTTTAAACTGGCCCAGCATGACCATGCGACCTTTGACCGACGTCCTGTACGGGATGGGCTCCCCACAGAAGTAGTAGGCCACTGTTATGTTCTCACACGCAGGCTTCTTCGTCGCTTTATGTCTGCAAACAAACAAGCAAGAAGCTCATTAAATGGGTCAAGTCAAGGCTTCCTTTCATCTTTTGCATGAGATGTTTCAAAAACCTCAGCAGAACTCCAACTGCAAGCTCTGATCATTTGACAGAGTAAGAGTGGGAAAGACAATTCAGACATCCAGAGGTATAATTTCCTCTCAGTCAGAATCTGATGTAAGAAAACTAGATCAAGTCACTCATACTCCTTTTTTACAACTTATACAAATGTTGGTTGTGAACGCCACCAGAGTTGCAATGCAGCAAATGACTGTTTAGGTGGCTAAGTATAAATCAACCAGGGGGCTGTGGGACCCCTAATGGGGCCTTAGTTTGATTTCCAGAGGTCCGCCAAAAAGGAGATAACCTATAAAGGCTAAATATGTTTGACACACAAATTCAAATAATCAGTTTCATGATTTGAATATTTAATGAGCCACTTGTAATGTGTGACTTCACAGCATTGGGTTTCCTCTAAAATGCTATCAAATTGAGCACTCCTGGTATAGGTAATATTGCCCTAAGAAGCTTGTCATGGGAAAGTATTCATTTATCAATCAGAGTTCATGGAGGTAATGTTGTTCCAGCAAGGAAATGCTCAGTCTACATGGGATTGTGAGGAGGTGTTACGCCCTAATGCTACCAGCAGGGAGAAGGTTACTACAGTAAGTAGTGTTCCAAATGCATGCCCCCGGGCCTGATGTTGGGTTTGATGGTGTGGGGTGAGGTGGGGTGGTAGAGGCCCAGTGATAGGATGGGGTGGTAGAGGCCCAGGGGCTTTGCCAGGATAGCCAGGCTTTCATCTGGTCCTTACTGCAGCTATCCTGTCCCCCTACATCTCTAAACTGTCCATCTGAGGAAGAAGCCACAGGACATCAAACAGACTGCAGCTTCACACAGAGAACATCAAAGCTCTGCTCTCTGTTCTCGCCGCACACAGCTTACAGTACACCTCTCCCTAGCTGCTGCCTCCTGCCACCTCCCCCCCTGTCCTCCAGTTCCATCTTCCCCATCTCTCTCCACTTAATATCATTCTAATTACTCACCCCCTCTGCTTACCAGTGTGAAGCTAGAGGTATGATCATTCTCACTGTCATCCACTGTCTTAGCCCTCACCCTGCAGCTATGGATTACTGTCTGGCTCTAAGAAATGGCTGAAGAGGTGAGACTGATTATTCTAATCCCCTGCCATACACAAGCAAATCAGATCAAATATGAATTTACATTTCAAAAAACTAAACTACACACAGATGCTATTATACAGGAAACTACTACTAGATTATGGGGATACAAGTATTAGTGCCAGTAATCAAACATGATTGATTACTCATAGAAGGCAGACATACAGTATATGCCTCTACTAATCTCTATGGAGTCTAGGCCTCTGTTTGGCTGTGCAGATACAGGTACAGAGCAGTCGGGTCTGGATGCTGCTGGTGATAGACATGGGAGGTGGTGGTGAGGTGGGGTGCTGCTGTGACCAATGGGATGGGGGTTGGGATGGGGGCCGAGGTGGGGTGGGTGTTAAGGGCTACTGGGGTAAACCAGACTGGACGTACTCGGACTCGGAGAGCTCCGTGTCGGAGACGGCAGGCACCACGCTGAGCGGTGGGAACAGGGCGGGCCTGACAGCAGCACGCCCCCGCTGGATCACTTCCATCACATACCTAAAGGACCCAACAACCCTGGGAGTTAGACACTGACCGGCCACAGGGCCATACCAACCAGGATACACACACCAGTGATCATGCACAGATGTGCAATGAAGAAGGAAAAAAAAGGTCAGTGCATCACGCTACTCAAAAGAGGGTTTGATCAAAAGTTAAGAATATTTAATTATTTAGAAGTCTTCTGAGACCCTGTCATGCTTCAGCTCACCCCAACATTTGCTGTTTTAGCACCAACATTACTTTTCGATAACAACGTTATTGTTTTTTCCTGTAGTATCAAAAGGATGAGTTTGGTGATTCAGTCACATGGCTGCCACCATCACTATAACAATACAATGGATGGATAGACATGACATGAAGAACCATGATTTGACAGAGACATCTCCCTTCCTCCCCAGGAAAAGCCGACTCACCTCTGCTTGGTCTGTAAGGTCCCAGTCTTCTTCTTCTCCTCCTCCAGTCTCCTCCTAGCCTCCTCCAGCTGAGTGAGTGGGTTGGGGGCCGGGTTGGGGGGCATGGTGGGGTCCTGGATGAAGGGGTGCGAGGGCTGCACATTGTTCCGCAGCTGGGCACTGACCCAAGGATGCACTGCCCCAGGACGCTCCACAGAGCTGGGCCGCGACACCTCGTGGCTCGACGGGGTCTTCTTGGACCCTGTAGTGCTCCTGAGAGACAGAGACAAAATCGTTGTCATTGTTTTACCCAAATGTACACAAACCACCATAATACGGATCAGAGTTAATTAAATTGACTTGCATTGGTCGTACTTTACTGATTCCCTAAGTGGGAAAGACGGCTAGCGGCCACCCATAAGCTGCAACTCACCCGTAGGGGCTCTTCTTGTTGCGGACTGCCTCTCCCTCCATCATCCACTGGAGGATCTTCTGGTTCCTCTCTACGTCCTCTGGAGGCACGGGCACCTCAATGGTTCGCACCTCCTCACCCTTCTTAAACGGCCTCTTCGATAGCGTGCTACCTTTGCTACTACAGGAATTGAATGAAAAAAGGACAACTACGTTAATGGCAAGTAAAACAAAAAAGATCTGAGACATTTTAAAAAATTGAAGAACGAAAAACATAATTCAAAGAGACATGAAGAGGCTGTGTGTTTTTGTGCATACCTGTATCCCATAGGGTCCATCGGGCTGGGGCCCATGCCGTCAGCATAGTTGCGAGACTTGGACCCGTAGTGGTGCTGCTCCATCCCCCAGGGGAAGTTACCATTGACCCTGATGGTCGCATCAGCCTCCACCTGCTCTTTGGGCTTCCCTCCGGCAGGGTGGTGGATGTGGTGCACGTGTTTGTGGTGGTATTGGTGGCTGGCAGCCTCCCCCTTGGGCCCCAGCCGAGCTGGGTGTTTGCCCGGGCCTGTGGGCAGTGGCATCCCAGGTCCGGGCACCTTGCCACCTGCAGGGAAGCCGTCGGGTGAGCGGGATTTGGGGGAGTGGCGGCCGGTGCCTGGGGACTGGCAGCCGGGGGTCTTCATGACTCGCTGGACGTGGTCATCCAGGATGCTCTCGGGGTTCTCCTCGTGGGCATCAGGTCGCAGCACCAGGCCGTTGTAGCCGATGTCAGAGTAGCGGGGGTTGTTGTAGTGCTGTGGGTGGGCACCAGGGGGCAGTCTGTGACTGGAGAACGAGGTGGCTGTGGAGATGTCTGCATCATCACCCTCTTCCTCCTTTCAGAAAGAAAAATAAATGATCATTAAACATACTGAAAATGGTTACCACCCTACTCAACAGCAATACTACAAGTTGACATATCACATCAGTATATAATATACAAATATATCCTACACATTAATTTGTGCTGTACATTGAGACAAATCTCAATTACAACCTACATGTATGAGCTTTAGTGTCTGGTCATTTCCCAAAGAAAGAAAGGGGGTCCCAACTCACCCCATTGCGAAAGAACAACTGCTAAAGTCATTTCAAAAGGCAAAGGCTATTTTTTCCAATCAGTCACACCAGCAGATGGCACAATTCCACAAAACCATGTGTTAACACGTGCTGCGGCATTATCACTGCTCTGCTGCAGAGGGAATGTTCTTCCTCTGTGATGCAAAGCTATTTCACTCTACATCAGTCAGCCAGCATAATCTTAGCTCTCAATAGACCCTTGATTTTTACTACAATTAAATAGCTCTATATATTTCAAGCTACAATCCTGCTATGTTCTAGTTCCTAGACAAAGGTTGCAGTCAGCCACAGTAACTAACTGTATGACATGGAGCAACTGTGCATACCATTGTGCCCTTATTTCACCAGGTCTGTCTCTGCAACTAACTGAATGGCTAAGGATGTGTGGACCCAGTCGTCCATTCCTCTAACTAAATGACATCAGCCCCCATTGGCTCCTCACCACCTCACCCTTCCCACACACCTTTGATGGCATTTCAACATGGGAATCATTTGGCAAATAACAGTGGGCAATTGATGTGGTGGAGGCTTTGATGCTCACTCCAGGTAACGGATTCCTGGGCGGGAGCTAAGGACTTTCTGATGAGGGTCTGGCTGGCGCGTGCAGATATTGGCCTGGCTCTCGGTCTCTGGCTCAGAGCAGCTGTGCAGGCCATTGCTCTGCACTCTGTTACCCTGTTCGCGCCAAAATGAGGCCAGATCCAGATCTGCTGAGCCCATCCTGCTGAAAGGCATCTACTAATGAATGTGATGTACTTCGTCTCTCTCGCTCACTCTCACCTCAGGGAATTGGAACGTACTGCTGCCATTGAACATGTAAATTATACATTAGGTGGGCCAACATTCAGAGCTTTGAAAAGTAAAGAGAAAAATGCCTATTAAGTTATTTATCTCTCAGTGGCACCAATGCATTGATCCTAAAGGTTCTGTATTATTTAGAGGAGAGATGAAGAAGACAAATGATTTCATCAGTCAACAGCACCATTATACCACAGGCTATCCTGCAATATTGACTCGTTCCTTTCAGACACTACTGAGGGAGTATGCCTAGACCGGATGTGACCTCTCAACCATTCAACATTGGATTGAGGCCACATTCTGTGAGATCAGGGTGTAAGTCTGTGGATGAAAACCAGGTAAGAGAGGAGAGGAATTGGGGGGGGGGAACTATCTTATATTTGATTAAGGTAAGAATATCAGTTAATAGAGTCACTATTTGTCACTCTCCTGCTTGCCTTACTAAAGAGAAACCTACCGTTCCATGATGGTGGTTCCTCTTACGGAGGGGCCAAACTACATAAAATATCTGCCTTGAGACTTAAGACCTGGCTCTGTGTACTGAAAGAGATTCCATTTGCGGTGAGCACAGGCATTTCTTCACACTCCAACTGACTTCAAACAAAGTCAATACAGTGCGCCAGGCTCACAAGTGGCTCAGGCTGTCTGCAGGTGTTCCATCTGATGCCAGAGAGAAAGGGATCCAGGATACAGTGGGATGGATCCCTGATAGGCCAGAGCTAGACTTCTATAAATGATTCAGAATGGCATAATGTCTGTTTCCCTTTTAATGAATCAACCCCAGTCCTTTCCCTCATTACTCAAACAATGGAGATATTACAGTGTACCTTCTGATAGACAGTCAGATAAACAGTGACCAGCTATTGAGAACATGGTAAGTGGTTGTTAAGAGGATGGTGGGGACATATAGAGTAGCATAGTGCCCCACCAGGGAGAGGGATCGTACAGACAGCAGGGTGGTATTTCTGTAGACAACAACGTACCAATCTGACCCTCTTCAGCCGCTCCTCCAGTTTCTCCTGGGCCTCCCTCTCCCTCAGCACCCCCTCCAGCCTGCTGATCAGATCCGCCGCAAACTTCTCTGGCTCCACGTGAATGTCCTTTGGTATCCGGTTTGTGCGCTACAGAGGGAAACATATCATTTCCAGTTAATTTCAATTGTACCAGTAGTCATTAGTTGACAACATTGTTGACGTATTCTCTCAAGGTAAAACCAGTGGTCTAGAACTATGCTGTTCACTTCTGATGATAGAACAGAAGGGAGAAAGTGGTATAGAAGAGGAGAAAAGACTGATCAAATAAGTCTATAGTTTATCAGGGAAAAGCTATCAGGGGACCTGTAATGGAAATGAAGGTGCCAAAACAATAACCTCAACCAAAGTCAAGAAGACTATTGCCTAGTAGCTACTGTAGTATCTACAAGGTCTGGTTTGACATGGTTTAAGACTTAGAATAGTCTGATGTAGGCTGCTCTGCATAACGCATGCTGTAAGCCGCAGGCATTCATCTCAACAATGAAAAGTTTCAACATAGGGTACTTCCAAAGTTGAAGAACATTTATAGGATAGTCAGTCAAATATCAGCCATAAACAACTTTCTGTTGGTCAGTGACTTTATAATAGCCATTAAAAAAAACATAGAAATCAATCTCCAGATTGACCCATCGCAGCGTGACACCATGCCCCCACTACATGGGGCTGACAGCATCTGAGCTACAGGCCACGTCTGGAAAACTCACTGGTACACCACAGACCAGACTTAATCACTAAAAGGTGATTGTCCGTTCAAAATAATCCCCATCATTGCATGTTCGTTTAATTACAGGCAGCAGAGTGAAGTACATTTTTATCAAAGCGAGATGCTGGCTATAATCAGCTCTTGGCTGGTATTCCCAACACAACTCAAGCCTGTAAGGTGCATTGTTGTAGTAATCTAGCAAAGAGAGATTCAAGTACATTCTGGGGGATAGGCTAAATATTGTAGAGGGTTTGTTTTACTCAGGGACCCACCAAAGCACACAGGATATGTCCACATGCTGATTACAAAGCAGGAGATTTCTCCAGCCCTGATGATATTTTTTCTTTGAATTCGGTTTCAGTTGGATTCATATTCATTTTACCCAACACAGGCAAAGCTTACATACAAAAAGTCCTGAGTAGCTTTATGGCCTTTAGAAGATCTGGCTGTAGAAATTACTACACTATTGTGGCTATTACCCTCTATTAGTGAAGATTGTACATTGAGTGTACAAAACATTAGGAACACCGTCCTAATATTGAGTTGCGCCCCCTTTTGCCCTCAGAAAAGCCTCAATTTGTCAGGGCATGGACTACAAGGTGTCAAAGAGTTCCACAGGGATGCTGGCCCATGTTGACGCCAATGCTTCCCACAGTTGTGTCAAGTTGGCTGGATGTCCTTTGGGTGGTGGACCATTCTTGATACACAGAGGAAACTGTTGAGCGTGAAAAACCCAGCAGTGTTGCAGTTCTTGACACAAACCGGTGCACCTGGCACCTACTACCATACCCCGTTCAAAAGCAATTAAATATTTTGTCTTGCCCAGTCACCCTCTGATGGCACATATACACAAACAACATAACCTCACCACCCCTTCATCTACACAGATTTAAGTGGATTTAACAAGTGACATCAATAAGGGATGATAGCTTTCACCTGGATTCACCTGGTCAGTCTCTGTCATGGAAAGAGCAGGTGTTTGTAATGTTTTGTATACTCAGTGTATACAGCGCATACAGAAAGTATTTAGACCCCTTGACTTTCTCCACATTTTGTTATGTTACAGGCTTATTCTAAAATGGATTAAATTGTTTTTAGAATTTTTTTCAAATGTACACTACCGGTCAAAAGTTTTAGAACACCTACTCATTCAAGAGTTTTTCTTTATTTTCCCTATTTTCTACATTGTAGAATAATAGTGAAGACATCAAAACGATGAAATAACACATATGGAATCATGTAGTAACCAAAAAAGTGTTACACAAATCTAAATATATTTGATAGTTGAGATTCTTCAAATAGCCACCCTTTGCACACTCTTGGCATTCTCTCAACCAGCTTCACCTGGAATGCTTTTCCAACAGTATTGAATGAGTTCCCACATATGCTGAGCACTTGTTGGCTGCTTTTCCTTCACTCCGCGGTCCGACTCATCCCAAACCTTCTCAATTGAGTTGAGGTCGGGGGATTGTGGAGGCCAGGTCATCTGATGCAGCACTCCATCACTCTCCTTCTTGGTAAAATAGCCCTTACACAGCCTGGAGGTGTGTTGGGTCATTGTCCTGTTGAAAAACGAAATGATAGTCCCACTAAGTGCAAACCAGATGGGATGGCGAATCGCAGCAGAATGCTGTGGTTGCCATGCTGGTTAAGCGTGCCTTGAATTCTAAATAAATCACAGACAGTGTCACCAGCAAAGCACCCCCACACCATAACACCTCCTCCATGCTTTACGGTGGGAAATACACATGCGGAGATCATCCGTTCACCCACACCGTGTCTCACAAAGACACGGCGGTTGGAGCCAAAAATCTCAAATTTGGACTCCAGACCAAAGGACAAATTTCCACCGGTCTAATGTCCATTGCTTGTTTTTCTGGGCACAAGCAAGTCTCTTCTTCTTATTTGTGTCCTTTAGTAGTGGTTTCTTTGCAGCAATTCGACCATGAAGGCCTGATTCACACAGTCTCCTCTGCAAAGTTGATGTTGAGATGTGTCTGTTACTTGAACTCTGTGAAGCATTTATTTGGGTTTCAATTTCTGAGGCTGGTAACTCTAATTAACTTATCCTCTGCAGCAGAGGTAACTCTGGGTCTTCCATTCTTTTGGCGGTCCTCATGAGAGCCAGTTTCATCATAGCGCTTGATGGTTTTTGCGACTGCACTTGAAGAAACTTTCAAAGTTCTTGACATTTTCCGGATTGACTGACCTTCATGTCTTAAAGTAATGATGGGCTGTTGTTTCTCTTTTGCTTATTTGAGCTGTTCTTGCCATAATATGGACTTGGTCTTTTACCAAATAGTGCTATCTTCTGTATACCTTGTCACAACACAACTGATTGGCTCAAACACATTAAGAAGGAAATAAATTCCACAAATTCACTTTTAAGAAGGCACACCTGTTAATTGAAATGCATTCAGGTGACTACCTCATGAAGCTGGTTGAGAGAATGCCAAGAGTGTGCAAAGCTGTCATCAAAGCAAAGGGTGGCTATTTGAAGAAAATATATTTGTATATTCGTTTTGATTTCTTCACTATTATTCTACAATGTAGAAAATAGTAAAAATAAAGAAAAACCCTTGAATGAGTAGGTTTTCTACAACTTTTGACCGGTAGTGTATACAAAAAAACAACATCTGAAATATAACATTTACATAAGTATTCAGACCCTTTACTCAGTACTTTGTTGAAGTACCATTGGTAGCGATTACAGCCTCGTGTCTTCTTGGGTACGACGCTACAAGCTTGGCACACCTGTATTTGTGGAGTTTCTCCCATTCTTCTCTCCAGATCCTCTCAAGCTCTGTCAGGTTGGATGGGGAGCGTCGCTGCACAGCTATTTTCAGGTCTCTCCAGAGATGTTCGATCGGGTTCAAGAGACTCCTGCGTTGTCTTGGCTGTGTGCATAGGGTCGTTGTCCTGTTGGAAGGCGAACCTTCGCCCCAGTCTGAGGTCCTGAGCGCTCTGGAGCAGGTTTTCATCAAGGATCTCTCTGTACTTTGCTCCGTTCATCTTTCCCTTGATCCTGACTAGTTTCCCAGTCCCTGCCGCTGACAAACAACCCCACAGCATGATGCTGCCACCACCATGCTTCACCGTAGGGATGGTGCCAGGATTCCTCCAGACGTGACGATTGCCATTCAGGCCAAAAGTTCAATCTTGGTTTCATCAGACCAGAGAATCTTATTTCTCATGGTCTGAGTCCTTTAGGTGCCTTTTGGCAAACTCCAAGCGGGCTGTCATGTGCCTTTTACTGAGGAGTGGCTTCCATCTGGCCACTCTACCTTAAAGGCCTGATTGGTGGAGTGCTGCAGAGATGGTGGTCTCAATGATGATCAATGGAAACAGGATGCACCTGAGCTAAATTTCGAGTCTCATAGCAAAGGGTCTGAATACTTACATAAATAAGGCATTTCTGTTTTTGATTTTTTATAAATATGCAAATAATAATAATAATAATAATAATAATGTATTCGCTTTGTCATTATGGGGTATTGTGTGTAGCTTGATAAGGAAACATTTTTATTTTATCCATTTTAGAATAAGTCCGTAACGTAACAAAATGTGGAAAAAGTCAAGGTGTCTGAATACTTTTCAAAGGCACTGTACATGCATCCTAATGTGAGGGAGAGAGTCTTGTTAACCAGGACTCTTGACTCAGCAGCCCAATTAGGATGGGAGTTCTCCTGTAGTGAGCTGCAGAGGCATGCAGGGAGGCGGGACTGCCACAGAGGAAAAACACTGCTGTCTGATGGGCTTCAACACAGTCCCGTGTAGCTCAGTTGGTAGAGCATGGCGTTTGCAACGCCAGAGTTGTGGGATCGTTTCCCACGGGGGACCAGTATGAAAATAAATATATGCACTCACTAACTGTAAGTCGCTCTGGATAAGAGCGTCTGCTAAATGACTAAAATGTCAATGTAAAACACAGACAGACAGCTGAGGGCTGAGGAGAGCACCAAGCACAGTTTAGACAGCACACGCCTCTCCATGAGCTATTCACACACCCTACACTGGCCCAGAGAGAGATGGAGGCAGGCATCTTACAAATGCAGGAAATTGGAGAGATGGAAACATTTGAGAAAGACTGAGGTTTCTATAATACCAGAATACAGCCTTGTAACCTGTCTTTGATGAGCTAGTGGGGTTATTACAGGTGTGTGTGTGTGCTTGTATGTGTAGGGGTGTGTGTGTAGCTACACCAAGGTTAACTTACAGGAATATGAGGTAGTGGCACTCGCCCATTTGCTTTGGCACTTTCGTGCATCTCTCGTCGATGCTGTTTGCGGTATTTGTATGGTGGAACCCCATCTCTGGAACAAAAACAAGGAACATTTTACAAGCATATTCAAAACTAAACAACTCATGGGTTACTTTGAAGCTGTATTTACATTTCTAACGGTAGCAGAATCAACCTAAGAGAACAACAACATTTTGGGAGTTTGTGGTAAATTGAGCGGATTGAGAATTCTGGACTTAGATTTCGGTAAATAGCAGAGTATCTATACCCTGAAGTTTCCGCTGTAGCCCTACACAGCAGTGAGCAACCAGAGAGCGGCGCGGTCGCTGATACCAACATTATGAATTGTTTAATCCCAAGTCGCAGTGGTCCCGCTGGGTGTGACTCGTCTGTGCCAGGAGCTGTGGAACAAAACAGCTGATAACGGCCTCTAATCTATCCTGCTTCAGACACATGTTTTGGTCCTGCTGAGCAGCCTTTGATATTTCTTTAACATGCGTCCCCCAGTGCCATCTCTGAACTTACAGCACAGTTCCTTTCTTCTCTTTCTCTGGCTTCCCTCTGCTAACAGCACCACTTACTCTTAAGGAAACATGCTGCTTCCCGCTAATGCGGAAGAAAAAAAGAGGATTGTTGTGCTAAATAACAGCTTGTGTCCGACATTGGATCCTCCAAAGGCAATGCTTATACATTTACCCATCTTGAAACAAACCATTGTCAAGCAATGTGGGCATGTCTTATAAGACGTAGGCTATAACATGTACTTTTTATTCATTGTGTACCGATTCCTTTTACGCAATTATGAGAGCCTGTCAAAATCTACTTAGCTTGAAATGTGATTAAACAAATATGAAGAAAACCTTTGTCCAATGTTGTGCATCACTCTAGTGAGAGAACAACTCATTCACTTTCTAATATCACTAGCATTTATTTCAATAACCTGCTCTTTTACCGTCAATTCTCCACCATTTCCTTAGAATTCCAGGAAACTTGATTTAAAGGGAAACAAGTCAATGTCTTCAAATGACAACCTGTGCCCTGTCATACCTCCCAGTTTATAGCTCTATAATTAGCATAAGTAATGACATTAGGAGCTTTCATTTGTGTGGGTAATGAACAGATGGCTGTTCTCTGAGGAGAGGAGCAGAGAGAGATGTGTTGCTGCTCCCAGTGAGGAGACAGACAGGGGGAAATGGCACCAGTCGGCGTGCAGCAGGAGGCGCTACAGTCAGACCAGGGTCCTATTCATTCAGCACCAAACGGAAGAAAACATACTCAAACAGAGAGGGACTACCTGAACTTGTCCAATGAGAAACTTGTTTCTGTTTTCTGTGGCAAAACATTTTGCTACTGTGTGCCCTAATGAATACGACCACGGTAGAGCTCAGATATACTGGGAATGGATTAAATAGAAAATAACATACTATTGTTTTCTATACCCACACACTCACATTTCATGAAATTGTTTGTGAAGGTCCTTATGCTGAATGGCAAGGAACAGGGAAGTTAAACTTCATTCTCGAGGCAAGACGCTGCCCTTACTCGTTGTATGTACTATTACAGTTTGACCGATCGTGTGTGTGCAAAACGTTTTTCTAATGTGCGCCCTAATGAATTCGACCCAGGTATAGCTCAGCATGGATTAGTACAGTATGATCGATTGTGTGTGTGCATTTGTGTGAGTGGGAGGTGATGCGGAGGCTGTGCGAGTACATACACACTGCTGTCGGTCAGGGAGAGTGTGTCTACGTCGCTGGCACTGGACATGCTCTGCTGCTCGCTGTCGTTGGCGCTGGTGGCAGGGGCCATGGCATAGCCCATGTTGACATAGTATGGGTTGACAGGCTCCCGCCACGGAACATGTCTGGAAGAACCACAACATTCAGAGAGAGAGCATTAAGGCAAAGTCATTAACAATACATAGCACATTATATAACAAAAATCAATGATGTCAGAGTGTATTAGCACCATTAAACAATAGATTCAGGTCCACATGACAAGAATACATTTTACGAAGGTTATTGCACTGTATTATCATAACATTAAAAGGGAAGTATGTTGTCAGTTATTCTGGATAAGAGCAGATAAGAATTGAGTGACAATGTAAATGTAATTTAGATATAAAACAAAGAAAGCCTATTCCCCCTGGGTCCTCAGATCCTCAAAAAGTTATACAGCTGCACCATCGAAAGCATCCTGACTGATTGCATCACCGCCTGGTATGGCAACTGCTCGGCCTCCGACCGCAAGGCACTACAGAGGGTAGTGCGTACGGCCCAGTACATCACTGGGGCCAAGCTTCCTGCCATCCAGGACCTCTATACCAGGCGGTGTCAGAGGAAGGCCCTCAAAATTGTCAAAGACTCCAGCCACCCTAGTCATAGACTGTTCTCTCTGCTACCGCACGGCAAGCGGTACCGGAGTGCCAAGTCTAGGTCCAAAAGGATTTCTCAAAAGCTTCTACCCCCAAGCCATAAGACTCCTGAACAGCTAATCATGGCTACCCTGACTATTTGCACTGCCCCCTCACCCCCACCCCATATTTTTACGCTGCTGCTACTCTGTTAATTATTTATGCATAGTCACTTTAACTCTACCCACATGTACATATTACCTCAACTAGCCGGTGCCCCTGCACATTGACTCTGCACCGGTACCCCCCTGTATATAGCCTCCCTACTGTTATTTTATTTTACTTCTGCTCTTTTTTGTTGTTGTCATTTTATTTTACTTTTTTATTTAAAAAATAAATGCATTGTTGGTTAAGGGCTGTAAGTAAGCATTTCACGGTAATGTCTACACCTGTTGTATTTGGCGCATGTGGCCAATAAAATGTGATTTGATTTGAAATAAGACTACTGTAGTATCTCTGTAGTAATACATGCCTTTCACACAAAACCACCCACATTGTCATAATGAATATCCTTCATAGAGGGTTTCTATGGATAGGTACAGTAGGGGAGATGCTCACTTAATTCTTATTGGAGGCATCGCATCACCACATCCTCCATCATTGACTCAACCTCCCTCAACACGTTCCTCAAACTGCTCCCTTCACATGAATTATAGATCTGGATAGGCCTCTGTTCTGTTCATCTTTAAACTGAAGAAGATCCCTCAAGTGTTCAGTACGTGCTCCCTCCCTGGGATCTCTGAAGCTCTCAGTCTTACTAGAGACCAAATCAAACCCAGGCTACTTCTGACTGGTTATCATTAGTCAGCCCATATTCTGTCCAAATGAAGAAAAATAAAATCTATTGTGAAGTGGTAAATCAGTTTGGATTAAGAGAAGAAAGGAGAGTAGTTGAAGAATGTATTTTAGTTCTACATGATATAAGTAAAGATTCTAATGTCTAGAAATGACAAATTACAATTGGTTCTCATTGAAAAGCAATGAGAGTCGTGACAGAGGATAGCATTTATTGTGTCATAACTAGACTGCCAATCTATCAAATCAAATCAAGATATAAACTAGATTTCCATCCAATTGGTGACAGATTTTCATGCGAATATTCCAAAAATTCACAAAGAAAATATGCGCAGTTTCCCATCAGTGGTGTGTTTCCACCAAACGGAATTGTTGTGGATAAAAATCAGTGCGTGATGACGTAGTGCAGACAAAATGTACTTTTTTGCTTACGTTGTCATGGACCGAATAAAAATCTGAAGTTCAACGTGTTTCCATCGCATTCTCAACTCTACCGATAGTTTTGTCACAAAAACTGTTGCATTAAATAGCAAATGTGACTAGTCTGGTCTTGGCACGTGCGCTTTAGCCAACAGCTGACAGATACAGAGCGGGTAGGCTCTGTGGGTAGGCTAGTCTACAATACATGATATTACTACGGATAAGAGCGAGAATATTTGTATTTGTCAAACGGCAGTCAAGCATCGATCATCATGTAATCAGAATAAGACCCTCAACATTTATTGGAAAGGAGCATCAAGCTCATACCGTGCACTTTCACCACCCTGTGAAGTTCATCATAACTTATTTAATCTGTAGCCTAATAAACTACATGGTTTCCTGAGTCATAGTGGGAGGACCACACACCATGTCATTGAGTGACTCCAAGTTTACTTCGATATGATGGCTATTATATCAATATTTGCGCATAAAGGCATTTCCACCACCATTTCTCGCATAATTACATTATACCGACACAAAAAGATCCGACCATGTCAAATTAACAAATTATCTGTCTGTGTTTATAAAATTGTACTGAAACTTCCTGTTTCCATCACAACATTTTGTTTTATATGGTATGACTTTACTCGCATAAAAACTATGGATGGAAACGTGGTTATTGGCTATAGATGACAGGAGCTATGTAGGCTAGTGGTACTGCCTTCACATTTCACCAGGACCATATCAGGGTTGCTTACAACTATTCGGCAAAGCGCAATAAAGTAAGACAGACTATTCCTCTACAATCCCGGAGGCAAATTCCCCACCCCCAAAAAAACACAGAAACAAGCCTCACTTCCTATTCAACATAACATGGAAGTAAATATAGGTCTAATCTTCTTAGAAAACATGTGTACAGTCATGTTTGCTGAACAGAGAGAGCCCTGCCCTGTCCATCAACCATAAGTCCTATCAGCTTTTATCACTGGAAAAGAGAATACAGTTTAATACTAAAGCACTCTAGTCATGAAATTATGCTTACGGCCTTTTAGCATTTTCAGTCCATAAGCACTGTGAGCTGTAAACCATTACATAATCTGTCTACTGAATTACCTATGGCGAACATGCATGACATTTGCTTTTAGCTTACTAGCCTAAACCTAACAAAACATGAAATGTCATAATGTGAAGAACTAAGATAACAAGGAAAAGAGCTCAGATAAGTATTTGAATTGGAATGGTCTGCAATTTTGCAATAAAAATGTGAGAAAAACAAGTTTCCATTGAAGTCTAAAAAGCCTCTCAATAAAAAAATTGTTTTGAGTAGTAAAAATCGATTCACTTCTCAAAACAGAGGCTCTGAGGAGAACACTTATTTGCTACTGATGCTCTAAAAACAGCTTTGATGAACAAAACCCACACCATGATGGCATCCCTCGTGATACATTCATCAAACAAAAACAAGTCCAACCAATACGGAGCCGTCAATGCATAGAAATGTACATTTTGTGGCTGAGGTGCAACGTGGTTGTGGATAACGACCACGTTCTATGGCTGAGGTTTCAAATGAGTGGGATTCATTTAAAAGGAGGGAGCGTTCCGAGAGGAAATGCAAATGAAAGGAGCAGCGGCAGGAGGCCACAGTCTGTTTTAAGGAGTTTGCACGGCAGGGGAGCGAGCGCCAAGCAGGAAGCCTCCTTTCTACCAGGGTTTCCCCTTGACCTGGAAGCCTGCTTCCCCCTAGAAACCAGGGCTTCCAATTCTAAACCTGGCTGCGTTCTCGCTTCAGGGCACCACAGGGAAAATGTCAGTCTCCTACCGGAACCGGAACCATGGCCATCCATCCATCCTACTGACTGGTAGTGAGGCATCTGTTTATGAGCCTCTAAGCCCAGCCTGGTTCAGCCAGAGAAGAGGAAAGGGATGGATCACGGATGGAAGCAGCTCTCGGATTACTGCAGCCTCTGATGATTATTCCCAGGCAGCACTCAAGCCCATGATCTAGAATCTTCTAATGATTGAAGCAGCAGCCATGATGTCAATGTTAACAGGATCACAGAGAGACAGCAAAGAGAGGGAGCCGGAGGACAGAGATGCTTTCAAACCAACACTGGTTTCATTATTGTTGTATTTTTCTGCTCTGTTTAGCTACAGTCTGTCAGTGTGGGTGCACAGCTGTAAATGGATCACATTTCATCACGTTTCTTATGACCAATGAGTAAGCTTTTGATGTAGGCTAGATGGCTTTCGAGGAACATGAGGAAATACCAGAGTACAACAGCAGCACTTGCCAAAACGTTACTCATACCTCTCAGAAAGCCCATCAAAAATCATACATACCTTTGAATAGCCTAGGCCTGAAAAACTCAAATAACCTGTCCTCCTGATGCACCATGGGGGCACAGTGAGAGAAGCTCAATGCTAACTCATTAGACGTAGGACCTTTTGTTGTTCCAAACGATTTGAGCATTTCTTTGCGCCTAGAGAATAATGACTGGTTTTTTGTCCCTCCCCTTTACATCGGAGTGCAGCCACCCCTGGATCACCACTGATTGGTTTATCAAAGCCCTGCTCATACACAGGAACATAGGTGAAGGAATCAGACCTGCTAGCAGGTTAGTTACTCATTACATTTTCTCTACAATTACTCTGAAGATGATAGGGTTATATAAAAATGTAGGCTATATATCTAATCTGTTTAAACCAGAAATTGTCATTGAGATAAACAATCTAAGCTACTTTCCGAGGGAGACCTAGAGAGAGGAGTGGCACCAGGAGAAAGGTTCCCCATGGAAAATGAGTCAAGGGTGAATTGAATGAGTTGACAGACAGGTTGAAATTAGTCTTTCAGAATGAACAGTTTTATATAAATTTGTATTCATGCTCATCATAGCATGTAAACATATTCAGAGAGCTTTGTCTCTACAAGAACAGTGACTGGCTGTCTGAGAACAACAAAAATATCCTGCAACATTTTTTGTGCATTACTACACAACTGAAAATAATATGTTTTTCTCACAACAGAGCTGCTCCCTTTTAATTCCCTGGATTCCATGTCTTCGCACATTAAGAGACATCTGACTGGTGCAAAATTTAGTTGCACAAAAACCCGAAGGGTGATGCTAAAAGGCTATTTAAAAATGGAGGGTAATCTTTTTGTAATTTCCGCCAAATACTAGACCTAATGAAATAGTCATTTGAAAACAACCTAAAAAATGCACTGCTCTCACTAATTAAAGCCAATCATATCCAGGGGCCATAGAATACACAATCAGAAGTAGGGTGGAGTGGGGAGTGTTTGTGGTTTTAAAATATCCTAGTCTTTCATTCTGTCACATTTATAGGCCAGTTGGAAATGAGAAAAGCCAACGTATAGGCCTTTACACTGTAACTATACTAAAAACGTTGTTCAAATAGACTAAATTCAGACAAAACAATATTCCTTAGCATAGGCCAATAGCCTAAACAATGTGCTATTTCTGAGTAGGCCTATTTCCAAAATCACAACACTGGTCCTAAACTGAAACAAAGACTTGGAAATCTTACTTTTTAGTCTGGCTAATTGAAAACACTGATTTCAAGTCCTCCAGCCCTGCATCCAGAAATCTTCAACACATTCTCTGCACAGAGAGCTACTGCATCTTCTACACATGTCAAGGTTTGTCTAAGACTGTTGTGAGAAAAGTGGGTCAACTTCTAGAGATAGAATTCCGCAATCTCTGCACCAGACAATGCCAACAGTGTCCTTAAGCACATCTGAAAAGTAAAGATGCTGTGTTCTTACATATTTCAGAGCAAGGCTATATAACGCTGCAAAATCCCTCCACATATTCATCTCACAACTGGTGATGATAGCAGCTTTGCTTAGTGACAAATATGGAACAAATTCAGAGATGTGGGAATATGTCTTTAAAAAATATTGACATTTAATTTCACAGACTTTGGCAGGAACATTTGTAGGCCTAATCCTTTGCACAGTGGGCTAAAAAGCCCAGATGCGCTGTTTCTGTTCAAACAGGACGAGGATTTGAGTTTTGTAGTCAGTCACATCTCACAATCCCATTCTGCGCATATGGAATGTCACAAGGCTTTGACACTGAAAGATTTCTGTAAAATATAACATAAGCATCATATTACTATTGATTAAAGAATGGAAGACAGATAAACAAGACTGTACTTCTACAATCCTATTTTAGTCATCCAGAAGAGAAATAAGGGAGTGCTTCCTTTTTTAGTGCCAGGTTCATTTCCTTAGACAGGGAATACTTCCTTTGACTTTTTGCTACAGTTAAACCAAAGTTCTCCATTTTCCACAGTCAAAAGAGAAATCATGTTGAGCTTTTCTTTGAGAGAATCTATCTTCCACTAGAAAAGCCTGCCATTCACAGAACACCTGCGTGGGGAACACAAAGAGCGTCTGCCTCCACCTTCTAACAGCCAGCAAATGCTCTCCCACCGACCCCTGCCACTGCCTCGCCATCACAGTCACAGGTACTTAAAGGCCTCTGCCTACACTGCATTCCTCTCATCTTAAGCTGTCCGCTGTGCTAAACTCAGAGCCTCTTTTCATCTCCAACTTCAGGCAGCACTCGCACAGAGAAGCTAGATAGTTATAGAGACTGGAGGAGAGAGAGAGAGACGGTGTTGGGACAGGATTTACCTGTACTCGTGACTGTCCTGGAATCTCTTGGTGCTGGTGACGCGCTGGGAAGCTGTCTCCTGAAGCAGCTTCTGAGTGAGCCGGTTGCTGGGAGTTGGATCGCTCTCCTGCTGTTCCTCCAACTCGTGGTCACATCTCCACTCCTCGTCCTCGTTCAGCGTCGGCAAATACCCTGGTAAAACCTTCCCACCCCCAGAAACAGAGCTCTGGTCGCTGTAGAGTTTAGGGCTCTCCCCCCCAGTCCTGGTGTATTCCAAATAGATGTCAGACTTGAGGAACAGTGGGTAGGTGTTCTCCTCTATCATAGTCTGAATCTCAGTCTGAGCCTGGTCAAACATGGCTGGGTCAATGTGCAGCCTGATCACACAGTCCTTGATGAAGCTCTTGGTGGCCGGTTTGATCTGTCTCGACACTATTCCATTGTTGTCCAGGATGTACTTTTTATAAATGGCTTTCGCCAGTTTCAGCTTCTTCTCCTCGCCCTGGCCCTCGTTGGCCTCGAGCTTACGGAAGCCACTGCAGGCGAACCAGAAGTCCAACATGTCTGCGCATTCCTCCTGCTTGAGGAAACGTCCTGAACAGATGGATACCATCCTGGTCATCCAGGAGGGAGTGCAGGGACTCTGCCCACTTAAGGTAGGGCGGCGTGGGGGAGGCGCTGCCCTCCGGCTCATAGCCCAGGTCCAGGTCAGGTCGTCTGGGCGTGGCCGTGGAGGCCTCGTTCTTGTGGCTCTCGCTCTTGAAGGAATAGAAGCCGTGGCTGTAGGGTCGTCCATCGCTGGACACCAGCTCTCCCTCCTCCCCAGGGACCGGGGGTCTAGGGGCATCCTCAGTGAAGCTGCCCCCCAGATCCACCAGGTAACCCCCCACCTTGTTGCCCACGCTCATGTTCACAGCGTCCATACACCCCGTCCCAGTACAGCCCACAGTGCAGAACTAGCAGATCCACACCTCTACTTATGACACTGTGAAAGAAATTCTCCTGTAAGAAAAACACAAAAATATATAATGAGTGGAAGCTTTAAAAACACACAAAATGTAAACGTATTCACAGGCAATGATTCAGACGTTTATTATCTCATTTTGACAACTTAGTAAAATATAACAAACATTTGAGGCAAATTTTAAATGCATTCAATACTGAGAAAATAAAATCACAGACTGCATATACATGTCTAAGCTTAAAAGTCTAATATTTCAAAAATAAATCCTGCCAAAACAGAGATGCCATAAATTATTTCATTGCTCACATCGATAGCACCCATTTAAAGGTAAAAAAAATATTTACTACTAAGAAATAAAATTCTATATCCCCTAAAGCTTTAGCAAAGTGCATTGAATAAATCGAAGCTCATGAAAAAAAGTGATCTGTGTGTCATATGTTTACACAGATTAGCACGTTCCGCTAATGATTCCCCACAGCGATACCTTAACATCACAAGAGTCAAGAACCTATTTTTATTGTTAGGTTTCTGAACTGTGGCTAGGCTATATGTTAGTATGAATGAAATCTAGTCTATGAAATACAGAGATAGCGAAAATAAAGGACACTATTTTGGATATAGCCTAACTGCTTCGTGCCAATCCTATTGAATGTATTTCCGACTTGGTATGGTTGGCTGAAAATAACTTAAAGGAAAAGGGTTATGGACACAGTAGTAGGTGACTCTTCCTTCCATTCTATAAAACTGTGAAGTTCTTTTTTTTCCCTGTAAGTAGAGACCAATGTGCACATCGACCCCTCTTCACTATTGAAAATAAACGTAGACATTTTTCCATGTTTGACATGTGTCATGTAAAGGATACAGAGAACAGAAACTCCACTTGAGGCCACTGACGACAGACACAAATCTGAGCAGTGTACTACAGGAGCCGACCCTGAGCATGAAATAGCGTGACAAGGGCAGAGCATTCTGGAGGTTAAAAGAGGAACTGCGGGGTGCAGGCAGAGCCCAATCTGCCATGACTGTGACCATGGCTGCTGTGTATGGTGAATGCAGCCAGGCAGGCACTCCAACTGATCATATCAGAGGACGACCTTGAGTCAAATATGTTCAGTCCCTGCTGAGTCCTGGAGGAAGTGGCCCTCCCTGTGGCCGTCCGGGAACTATGGAGTGGACAGACAGGGCATTTTACACATCACAGTGCAATGAAACACTAACTATCCTCAATCTCTCCTTTTCACATTGACGGAGATGATGAATCTACACAAAAGTGTGCTACGCTCAATTCTAGTAGCAGGAGTAGTACTTATCTTAAAATGTTACATTTCAAGACTCTCAATACCTTTAGAATGTCCTCATCTATCTAGACACCAACTGACCTAGAATGTGTCAGCTCATATACCTGGGTATCTGGCACTATCATTCCACACACACATCAATAACCTTCAAGCAAAGGTCAAATCCAGAATAGGCTTTCTCTACCCGAACAAATCTACATTCACACACTCTGCTAAACACACCCTGGTCCAGATGACAACACTCCCCATCCTGGATTTACGGTGATGTCATTTACAGTATGGCCCCAAAGTCCACCCTCAATAAACTGGACGTACTTTACCACTCTGCCATAAGCTTTGTCACTCGTGCCCCATTCCAAACCCATCATTGTGACTTATAGTCATCCATTAACTGGCCATCCCTACATGTACGACATCAAACCCACCGGCTCACATTCATATACAAATCCCTCCTCGGCAAGACACCCCTTTATCTCAGCTCCCCACCACCAACAGCAACCTGAGATCCAGCAATTACATAAACCTGCCAATCCCCAAGACTCTCAGTATCTTTGGTGAAAATGCTTTTCAATGATCTGCTGCTTGAGACTGGACCATGGGGTTTTTAAACACTGAAACTAAGCTCTTTTGAGCCAACTGGTACTTTTAAAAACCAACTGTCTGAGATTTTAACAGATAACTGCATGTGTTTTCCCCTGCCACTTAAATGCTGCCCATTACTGAATCTCTTACTGATTTTTTTACTGGCTGGGTATTATGTGTACTTTTGACTGTTGTGTCTATGATACTGTTTAACCTATTTGTGTGTTAAACGTGCTGTGCCTGCTCCATGACGGGTCGTCATTGTAAATAAGAATTTGATCTTAATTGACTTACCTGGATAAATAAAAGGTAAAACATATATATGTATATGTTTATATACAGTAGGTGTGGACGTTTGCTAATGACAACTGCTTTGACCACTGGGAATTCGTTTTCAGCCAACTATTCATAATGATTTGTACTATCAACAAAATGTTAAGCAATTTGTCATGTCAATATCAAAACACTAAATCTAAGTTTACCTCTTTATTGCTTTAATTCAACGGCTCAATTTAAATCAGGGGGGAAAGCTTAGGGTGAGAATGAAAAACGAAGCCTACAATGAATTCCCAACTTTCACTGTGTACAATACCAAAACAACACTGCTGGAATCAATTAACTTAGCAACATAGCCTTCCAGCAACAACGTAACAAACATGCAGAAAGCTAATACGTTACACTGTAACAAAAAAAAGTAACAATATTGATGCTGGAATTCTATTAAACCACAACGTAGCCTACGTAGTAGCATATTTACCAAAATAGCAAGATCACATCTAACAAGAACAGGCTGTGATATGATTTCAACTGTGAACACGTAGATCATGCAAGCATTATCATGCGCACATTCACAAATACTGTGTTGCTGTCTTCAGCTTCGTAATATGCACGTACATTTCCAAAGATCGTAATCTGTCGCTACTATAACTGTATTACTACACCCATTCCCTGCCATCCCTAATGCTTTGAAGTGAGTCCCCACATTCATTGCATTCATGTCTTGGCCTCTGAGTATGAGCAGCACAGCAGCATAAACGGATGGGGGAGGGGAGGCAGAAACAAACTCCGTACACACCGCCAGGCCCTTCCGCAGCCGACCCGACTAGTACACAACTTTGCAACACTATTTGCCTATTAAAATGTAAGTATCTTAGGTAATGAATGTTCAGAGATGTTCACAACCAACACCCCACAATTTTTCAAAATCGATAAAAGACGCAGCAGAGCTAGAACCCTCGATCTCAGAATTGACTAGCGCACACACACAGCAAAGCGATGGCACATATCATCTCCGGCTACCGCAATCCCAAACCATGAGCTGAAAAAAAGTGCTCTATACTTCACCTGTGAAAACCTACTTGCCGTTTTCGAGTGCATCGGGAGTTTTTGCTTGTACGGCTCACTGTGAATCGTGTCATAGATGCGAATAGCAAGAGTTTAAAAATAACAAAGAAAACAGTCCGTTCTCCACCTCTCCATGTCTCTCTCACTCCTGTCTGTGTGGTGGTTCAGAAGATGTACAGCGCCACGAGCGTTCAAAATACATACTGCTGCGTGTAGAAGAAATGGAATGGGGGGTAAACCTGAACTGGAGGGAGAGGGATGAGGTGCATTCTCTTCAAATATTCTATAGTGTAGCTAGGCTTTCTCTACCCTGGCGACAATATATTTTATCACATGTATTGAAGACAATAAAGACAACCTGATCAAACCATCTAAACAAATCAAAAGCCTAGAATGACACATCTATACCGTTATTTGGAAATCCGTTGGCAGAAAGGGTCAAATGAAAACGCTCATATCAGGGAAATAATTAACAGAGATAAACATAACATTTGTAAGGAGGAGAGGAACAATGCCGCATGTAAAAGCAGATGATGTGTCAATAAGGGACAGTAGACCACCTGTCTCTTTACGAATGCTATTTGCAATACTTTCACAAGGACTGTTGCCAAGGACATGTTTTGAGAATATAGATTCAAAAAGGCAAGTAAGAATTTAATGTGGTTGCCATTTCCCCTGTTCTTTTATGTATAAGGCTGGCACAGAATAATGAAGAATGGGGTTATTGTGTTTGCCTGCAGTAGTTAGTTTACTTTGAAAATGTCAGTGAAACATCAATATCAACACACAGGGAATATGAACGTGGAGTGCAGCTTATCTACCATTAACTGCCTTAATGTTGAAGGACCCCAGGAAGAGTAGCTGCGCTAATGGGGATCCTTAATAAATACAAATACAAATACAAGAAGAGAGCCAGAGAGAGCTCTATTATCACCATACAGTATGTGCACTACATTACAACAGCCAATGAATGTATTTATTATATCTTATCATTTGAATCTATCAGCTCTGCCGGAGTTTACCAAAGAGAAATGCAGGGTGGTATGTTGGTACTCTTTAACTCTTCTAGCTCTCTTTTCACAGCTTGTAAAGAGATAAAGATCAAAGGTATTCCTGTGATTGTATTCCTCCACCTGACCAAAGGATAGAAATGCTTAGACAAAGTTAATGCAGGTGGCTTTCAACTTGCTATTCTAATCTTTAGCCACCTTTAAGAAATACACAAGGGAGTAAGAATTAACATTTATTTTTACTGGAATGTATATTTGCAAGGGCAATATGTGTTTTGACTGTGTATCACACTTTGTGTGTTGATCTAGACCTGCAAACTAGCTGCACACACCTGCAAACAATCAGGTCTGTAATCTCAAGGCTTTACTGTACTGAGATCAAAGGCCATTGGAATGCAGAAAGCCATTACTGGTCTTGATGATTTGATTAGATTAGATCATTCAAAAAGTACAGAGAATGACTGTACATATTTTTCAACTACATTATATTTTAGGGGGGGCCTGGATTTATGCCTTCACTGCAACTGAATGAGCCAAGACAAATCTGGCATATGTGCAGCCCTTCAAGAATTGGAGGTCCTTGTGTTGCGTAAAATGATCAGAGTAAACAACATCTTGAGGTATACTTAGTTACACCCTGTGTTGTTGTAACCTGGTTGAGGTTAAATATGACTGAATGTCATAACTTTATACTTCAAGGCACATTTTGTTAAAGAGATTCTCCG